TTTTCACTGCCTCAGGCTGAAACAGAGATTCAAGTTACAAGCTCTATATTGCAGATACAGAAAAACAGAAAAAAAGCCAAGACTTATTTTTCTTGGTTTTCAGATGCTTTTCAATCTCTATCAAAACACAAGTTATGTTAAGTGGAACCAAGCACACCAGGTAATACAGACAGCTGTGAAGAAAAGATTAGAATACGTATTAACTCCTTACTCCCTCTCTAGAAGACCCCAAATATTTAGATGGCAAAGAATAAGATGGGAAGTTTGAAAAGCCAATTGTCCATAACCAGTAAGTGGAAATAGCTTTCTCTAATAACGTGATCTGTTTCCCTGGGGATCCTATGAGATCGACACATTTTTGATAATCTGTTATCTGATAACTGATTTCCTATTTTAATAAGGTTGCTTTGTTCTATACATTTTTTGCACTCTATCATTCTATTTTACTGTTTCTCGACAGATTTAAAAACAAATAAAACAGGAACAACTTTGTTTCTCTGCAGTTTCAACACAACATCAAAATTCTTTGCTATAATAGGGTATACCCACTGAATTACTCTTCACCCCATTCTATGACAAGACTTAGCGAGTGTAGGTACGGCTGTTGATATGGTCTACCTGGACTTCAGTAAAGCCTTTGACACTGTCCCCCACAACATTCTCGTGGAGAAGCTGGCTGCCCACAGTTTGATGGGCATACACTCCACTGGGTGAGACACTGGCTGGATGGCCAGGCCCAAAGAGTTGTGATCAATGCTGTTAAATCCAGTTGGTCGCCAGTCACAAGTGGTGCCCCCCAGGGCTTGGTACTGGGGTGACTTCTATTTAACATCATTATAAACTGTCTTGATAAGGGGACTGAGTTTACCCTCAGTAAGTCTGCAGATGAAACCAAGTTGGGAGGGTGTGCTGATCTGCCTGAGGGAAGAAAGGCAATACAGAGGGACCTGGATGGACTGGATTGATGGGCCAAGGTTAACTGTATGAGTCTCAGTAGGGTCAAGTGTCAGGTCCTGCATTTTGGTCAGGCAGCCCTACAGGCGTGGGGAGGAGTGGCTGGAAAGCTGCCTGATGGAAAGGAAAGGAACCTTGGTGGACTGATTGACAGCCAGCTGAATATGAGCCAGCAGAGTGCCCAGGTGGCCAAGAAGGCCAGCGGCATCCTGGTTTGTATCAGGAATGGTGTGGTGAGCACGAGTAGGGAAGTAATCCTGCCCCTGTATTCAGCATTGGTGAGGCCTCACCTTGAGTATGTGTTCAGTTTTGGGCACCTCAGTACAGAAAGGACACTGAGGTGCTGGAGCAGGTCCAAAGAAGGGCAACAAGGCTGGTGAAGAGCTTGGAAAATATGCCCTATGAGGAGCAACTGAAGGAACTGGGGCTGTTTACACTGGGGAAGAGGAGGAGAGGGGGAGATTTAATTGCTCTTTTCTAATATCTGAAAGGTGCTTACAGCAAGAGCGGGGCTGGTCTCTTCTCACTGGTGACAAGGGAGAACTGACCTTAAGTTGTGCCAGGGGATGTTTAGGTTGGATATCAGGAAAGACTTGCAGAGTCTACATTTGTGGGAAAGCATGTCCTTCATATATGCACCAGTTTGACAGAATCATAGAATGGTTTGGGTTCAAAGGGACCTTGAAGATCATGTTGTTCCAACTCCCCTGCTATAGGCAGGGACACCTCCTTCTGGACCAGGCTGCTCACAGCCCCATGCAGCATGGCCTTGAATGCTTCCAGGCAGGGGGAATCCATAACCTCACCAGGCAACAACCTAACCTGTTCCAGTGTCTCACCAGCCTCACAATAAAGAATTTCTTCCTAATATCCAGTCTCATCTATCCTCTTCCCATTTAAAACCACAGCCCCAAACCCTGTCACTACCTGCCTAGATAAAAGGTCCCTCTCCAGCTTTTCTGTAGGCCCCTTTCTATAAGGTCTCCTCAGAGCCTTCTCTCAGCCTGTCTTCATAGGGGAGGTAGCCCAGCCTTCTGATCATCTTCATGGCCCTCCTCTGGATCCACTTCAACTTTTTCACTTGCCTGAGCCACATTTAGTAAAGATGAATTGTCTAGGGCAGCATATACATAAGCTACTCCAGAAGTAATGCCTCCTACTTAATTGCATGGAAACAATAAACCATACAAAGAGCACAATAGCACTATTTCATAGAGCAAATTCTCAGCTACTAAAATAATATCTTTCGATCATAGGTCACTACCACTAGCTATGAATTTTCACCAGCAACAAACAAGACCCTCCATGCTGTGCTCATAACAATCTGCACCAGCTTAGGTGGCCCACTGTTACAGTCACCACTGCAGAAAAACGCCACCTCACTGCGCTTACATTCACTGTTTAGTCTCCATAAACATTCAAGCAAGCATCAATGAATACCAAGCATTGCCGTTTTTTTTTCCACATGGAGGAATTCAACAACACACCTTTGTTTCACATATACTTCCATGTGAGATACCATTCTGTCACACTGCCCCTCTGCTGCCATTTGTTGTCACTCTGCATCAAAATGTAACAGAGTATCATTGGGAAGGTTCAATCTCTACTGCCATACCAACAATATCCACCTCCAGTGTCATAGGCCAACATCCTAAAACAGGAGGCACTACTTTCAGCCCCTATAAAATACACAGTATCATTAACTTGTAAGTAAACAGAATTTAATTGTTAGTATTTTTCTTAAAACATGTTTTAAAAAAAGGAACAAAGACTGGTCAGTTATTGACCTTGTTTTTGTGAAACAAATGCATCACCTTGGTTTGATGGCAGCGGTTGAAATTCTTAGTGAGGTCTCAAGGTGTTCATCAGGTTTTTGATGACATTTTATTCTTCTTGTACATCAACCTTGACAATTTTTCACACGTGTATACTGCCAAAGCAGCGACATGAATAAGATGTGACTGTGAAGGATCTCTCTCTCTCTGGTAAGAGAGGGCTAATAAAAGTCTGGTAAAGAGACAGGGTCAGACTTTTAAGTTAAATATCTGATTGCAACTCTACATATTCCATTTGAATATTTGCAGGTCATGTACTTATATCAACAGAAAATGGTGTCACAAACATAAATTGAAGATCTTCACAGCCACTTGAAACCCATTTTCTAATCCCTTCATCACAACAGAAAGCATGGCTGCATATTCTTTGCTGCTCAGAGCCCTACATTTAGCCAATGTATCAGCATGCAGGCAGTTATGTGCCATTGCTTGAGTCAGCACTGCCCCCCCTGTGCCCTGCAGTCAGTCGATGCAGCAATAATAGTGCACTGATGTTTGGCTTTTGTGAGCAATGGTTGTGCTGGGAGCAGCCCGAGGGGAAGAGCTGTTGCCTTACAGCATGGAGCAGGGGCAGCCACAGTGACCGACAGGCTGGGCTGCAGGCAGGTACGTGGGCTGCACGGCTGGTAGCCGTGGGTTGGAGAGCCTATTCCAGAGGGAGGCCTAAACAGCTTTAAAACACATCATTTTGCCATATAGTTTAAAGAAAACTTGATTCATTGTTAAAACAGCCACAATAATAAAGAGTAATTCTGAATATAAACAACTAATCTCTTCTTACAAGCCAGGCCTAAAGTATATAAACACTGTTATGAAGACAGTTAAATAACAACCTCTGAAGCACTGATATTTGGCTTCATTTTAAGAAACACTAACATTTCAAGGAAAATCTTGAAATGCTTCAGCTGCACTTGAGATGACATATATAATCTGCTCATCGATTTATACCTATTTAACAAAGATACGGCAATGACTCTAAAGATGATGATAATTCCAATTGGTATCAAATCTGGTGTACCTGCAATGGGGCTGTAAAGCTTTCCAACCTTTTTCAGCACATCCAAAGAGTTATCAACAGTAGAACACAAGCGAATGAGTCCTGCTCTTCAAGGTACTCTGACAGACCAAGGTGCTCCTTTATCTTGTTACATGCACTGACTAGCCAAACAGAGCACAAGGATCAGAGCTCTACCTGACAGCAAAAGTCATCTTTCACCTGGCCAGACATCAGCTTTCAAATTTCTTAAAAAAACAAACTCTTTGAAAGATCTACCCTTCTTTAAAATGCAGTTGAAATCCACAAGTGAACTCAAAAAATCACAAGAAACAACCACCTAACAGATGGTATGATTGCTTAAGTGGCATTTCCTTCAGAAATCAGGCCAAAAGAATACTTATTTCAGACCCTCAACCACAGTTGCTGTGGGGAAAAAAGTAAAAAAAAAAAGTTGTGCTGGTGAAAAAGAAAAGGAATTGCTACAGGAAAAGGTAACTGGAAAATACACTATGTCAATCTATTCAACAGCTTGTAGCACAAGAAATCCATTATTTTCAGTCAATTATAATTCAAAATTTCTTTTCTTGTGTATGCTAACAACAAAACAAGTGAGTTTCCACTGTTTATATCTTGATTAGTGAATAATCTGTAAGTCCAATGTCAAACAATCAAATAATTATTTAAAACAATTTGCTCTCTGTTTAATGAGCAGAATTCATTTTCTAGAAGAAAGAAGTTTATTTCCCTTCAAGAATACATAATCTATTTTCTTTCTCATCATTAGTTTAAAAAAAATTGCTCAATATTTTTAAGAATTAGTAACAAGTAACAGCAGAAAATAAACATATAGTGAGCATAAAATTCCTACACAATACTTATTTCTTTAAAGAAAAATCTTCAAAGAAAAATATTCTTCAATTGAGTATCCAGTTAAAAAAAAAAACAAAACCTTAAGGTTTTTAATGTTAGTGCAAATCAATGTGCAAAAAAACATTACCCTTCCATCACAAAAATACATAGATAGATGATGCTGGAGCTTTTCCATTTTCTCCCAGATTTCACCTCCAAATTAACAACACAAATTAACAAGAAGCACTGCATGAAAAACAACTAAAAGCCTTCGACAACTAAAGATCTGGAAGGACTTAAAGCTACGTTCTTTTTTAAAATCATGTTTTCTTTTATAAACACAGAAGTTTAAAATCGGTACTTACTTCAACATGTGTAAGCAGCATTTGTTCAATGTTATCGTTTTTCTTCTTGAGATCTGGTGAGATGCTTTTATTTGGCACCTGGAAATGTGTTTTACTGAGATAACCATCACCAAAGTCCTGCATTCAGAACACAAAAAAAATCTGTAACCAAAATGCTAAGTGCTATCACTTTTACAGATAATAAAGCACAATATATAAGCAGAAGCTCCAAGAGTTTTGCCTTTTGTTTGTTTGTTTGTTTTGGGGGTTTTTTTTGTGTTTTTTTTTTGTTTTGTTTTGTTTTGTTTTTTCAGAAACCAATGATTGTGCTGCTTCTCAGAATCTTCTCACTGGCAGTTTAATCTGTTCTCAGTGCTAAAAGAAATCAAAGACCCTAAACGTGAAAATAAAACTTCGTCCACGATGACTGCTAAAGAATCAGAAGACCGAGCGCCAAGGTTTTGAAGAGATAAATAGCCAATAAAAACTTGCAGTGCATTCATACCAGTACAAACTTCCAAACTCTTCGTAGTTTGTTTTATTTTAGATCTGTTTACATTCCAACTTTCATAAAGTAAAAAAAACAAAACAAAACAACCTAACAACCTTAAGAATTTGCATGTGTAGAGTCACATCTTGTTCCCTTCTCTTGATCACTTCTGAGGGGCAAATGTGAGAGAAAACAGCAATGCTTTACTTTCTCCCAGTTCCTTTGTTATCATTCTGCTTCCCAGACCACATGGCCCACTGTTGTAGAAGGCCCTTTCGCCATTTCAGAGTTGCAGAAGAAACTCTAACAGCCTTCCCTCTTTATTAACTATCTGCACACATATATAAAAACTATTTTTTCAATTCAAAGAATAGAAAAAAAAAACTGATCACAAGCATACCCTCTGAGAGAAAGAAAGAGTGTATGTAACACCAAGAACAGTAGTTGCATGTTAAGAACGTATTTTTCAAAGGAAACAAATAAATTGAGGTTTTATTAGCTGTTTCATTACATTTTATTTCAGACAAATACAGAAAGCACATGTGCAACATCTGATGAAAAAGAATTCTATTCAAAGCAGTCTCTCTATCAAATTCATTAATGTAGCATTAGATTGCTAGACAAGGCTGCAAATTTAACCATAACAGGACTCTCCGGTTAATCTATTATTTCTGACACAGTTTGTTTCATGTATTTTGACCTTTAAATCAATGTACATTTTATTCTGATAAATCAGTTCTCTCCTCCCAGTGACACTGAGAGAATATATATAGAATATATACAGAAATATATACATATATTTATACGTAATATATAATATATACACCTCCAACACATTATATCTATATGCATACTTTGTTCCTAAGTTTCACACCTTGAATAAAATACTAATGCCTTTACACGTATTTTTGCCTGTGAATTTTTAAGCACAAATGCTATGAGCAATTATCTCACTTCATCAACAGGACAAATCTGCCAAACTTTGCTGGATGTTCTGGTTGTACAACCAATTACCTCCTAAGCTTGGAAGAACAAAGCATATGGAGGACAACAGAGATGGAAAAACTGAAGCACCTCCTGATGACATAAAAACCACTCCATTCATTCTCAGCACTTTCTCAAGTCTCTCCTTGTGGAGTTTTGTGCGAGTGTCAGTAAGAACAAAGCTGCCTACATTCGTATTTATTGCCCTAAGAGCAACAAAGAAAGTACTATCACCACCCACAGAGGCGGAATGCCCCAAGGCACAATGATCTTTGCCAGAGAAGATCTGGATACAACTTTAATCTCTTTGAACCAGTTTTTCCAGTGAGGGGAAAGAAGGAGCCAAAGCTATACAGCCTTTGCGATCCATGGTATTTGAATGCCATAAAAAATGTCTACAGATGGCAGGAAACATGGAACTAGAAACCTCTGTGCTTGACAGCTGTACATCAGAAGTCAGTGAAGTGGTGGCTGGAAAGAGGAGCATCCTTCCTGCTGCACCCTGCAGATATTCTGCCCCTGCAAATAAATCAATACTGCAGCAAGGATCCTTATGAATGTGGGAAAAGGAGTACTTTCTACTACAGCTGTCTTGTAAGCATCATAAACAAACATGAACTGATATAGACTTTGATATGGTTACCCAGATTAACCTAACTGATATGAAATAAACTTAAAACGGAAATGAAATGATGGGACAGCTGTCACAGACAAGTCCTAATTATCCATCTCTGGTAACAACTGCTGTTTCTATCCACATTTTAACTCCATCAGGTCCTACAACTGAGGTGCTCTTAGCTTTCTATTTATTTATAGCTTTCTTTTGAAAGAAAGAAAAAAAAAAAGGATTATAAAAACAACATAGTTTAGAACATTCCACTTTCTGCTGTAAATACAGCTTCTGCTGGGGTCACATGAGCTCATGCCACAGGAGTCAGCCTGTCAAAAACAATGAGTATTTCATCATCTAAGTTTAATCTCTATCAAAAACACAGGAGACTAAGAGCACAGTCCTACAAGTCTGTGTGGTCTTATTGCCATCAGCGGGTCTATTCATGCAAGTATGGAACGAGGAATGGGGTCTGAGCACATTACATTGACAAAACTGAGTGCTTCAAACTTCCTGTATCACAAACACTGTTAAAAAAAAGGCAAAAAGGCAATGAGAAATCTTTATAATGAAAAGCTTCCCTCAGAGATTATATAGTATACATGGAGCATCTCAACAGCAAGCTTTTTGCTATGTTCTGAAACCACAAAGCATTAACTTGGCCAATTAAAAAAAAACACTTTTTTTTTTATATACATGAGAACACAAACCCCTCATTTTGCTATTTCCAGCAAAGATTCATATTTCACAAAAGTTCAAAGATTGACCTGCGTATTGAATTCCCAATAGAGGCTCATGGCATCTTTCTTTGTTGAATAAATCCCTCATAAATACAGCCTTCGACTGAAATCTGAAGTTTCAAATGGCTACCTGCAAGAAAGGGTGCATTGTAAAACTTGCCTAATATTTGCACTGTTTTAAAAACTTCTTTAAGTGAATGCATTTAAGGCCAAGAATCAAAATTGTTCAATCCACGATGAAAGGATTACAAATGGTAACCCTTCCACTTGAATACAATAATTTAAATAGAAATTATACCACATGTGTTCTTGTACTTTCTGCATTTCAAAACAGTTCAAGCAAAATTTCTCTCCCCAGAATTACTGAAAGAATGGAAAACCAGACATTAAAGCAAAAGACCACCAGTCCACACAGACACACACAAAAAAAAAAAAAAAAAAGAAATTCTGCACAGCAAAGAGAAGAAATACAGAGATAACAACAAGCATCTCAAACCTTCCACTACTGAAAACTGGTCAGAACAGCAAGAGAATGCAAGAAAATCTACGCTGTCCTACAAGCAAAATAAAAAAAAAAGTAAGTGAAAGAGAAACCCTAATGCAGTATGAATCTAATACTAGACGGAAAATATTAGAAGCACTCAAAGCATAAAAATCATGTGTTCAAAACATTTCTATTGTTATCAGGCATCAAATACAACTGATGCAGCCACGGGCCGCAAGCAGCAGTGAGACGAGACATTAGCATGAATGACTCAGAATTTTCTAACCAGCACACAAGAACTGCCAACGTTCTGTTATCTTTAAACACTGCGAAAGTTCCAGAGAGCTTGGGAAAAGGCCAGAATGCAGCCAGGTATCCCTAAAAGTATATACCAGACAACATGCATAGCTATACACTTGTTACCTTGTGACTAACCCAAGCAAAGACTTCAAATGGGATTCAATAAATACAGGAAACTATTTCCTTTTTTATTTCCTTTGTTTAAGAAAAATAGTCAAAGTAAAGTATATGCCGTATTTCCCTATGTAAACCACTGATTTCAAAAGCAGAAATTGAAAGAAATAATATAATCCCAAACTAATCTGACAGACACTGAAGGATGAAAAAAACCAATCATCACAAACACAACTTAAAAAAATGGGAAATCATCATAAAAAAAGATTCTAATGGGGTCCTGTGGGATCAGTCTTAGCCCCGTGCTATTTAGAATTTTGATTAATGACCTAGAAACAATATGTAATTATTTTTTATGAAGCTTGAAGATAACAGGGAAGCAAAAAATAATGAGGACTGACCACATACTGACCAGTAATAGATTGTTTTAGATGCTGTATGCAAATAATTAATTGTTTTTAAATATAAAATACAGTCACACATCTAGAACAAAGACAGCAAGTTGAAGGATTAGATCCTAAGGCACAAAATCTGCATAGATTTATGAATAATTAGCTGAACAGGGAAAATCCTACGTGCCATTTCAGTTTAAAGGGCTAAAGTCACCTAGGAAGGTTTGAACTTCACAGTGATGCAACATCCATCCTCTAGTTCTGACCACGGATGAAGAAAGGATGCTGCTATACTGGAAAGGGCTTGAGGTTCCACAAGAATACCGGAAAAAATGCCAAACAGCCAAAGGGGTCAACTTATTTTATTTAGCCCAGACAAGATTAAGGGATTAATTGATCTGAATCCATAAGTACCCGAACAGGAAGAATTCTGATTAAAGAGAAGCTCTCAGCTTCATAGACAAGGAATAAGTTCATGTGGCTGAAAGCCTGAACTAGGCAGTAGTTTAAAAGTAATATTTTCTTCAAATTTCAAGCATAGCCAGACATTAGCTAGCCTCACAATTGTTTCCCCATCCTTGGGAATCTGAAAGTAAAGATAGGAAAATGCCTTAAAAGGTATCAAAACAGACATCACTGACATTTTTCTGTGTCTTTGCTACATAAGGCCCAGCAGTTGTTTCTAGATCATTAATTGTATTCAATAGATGTCTTTGCCTAAATGCTTAGATGAACTACTTCTCTGCTCTCTTGCTCACAGACAAGCTGTGAAGAAATGTCATTTATTTCACCCAATATAAACAATCCTGAAGGATCTTATAGCTCCTAGCATTTGCAAACTACTAAGAGAGGCCAACAAGCTATCTAAAAATGATCACTTGGATTATTTTTACCTTGGTAGTTCTCCACTCCCAGCCATCCCCTATTTGCTGTGAATGTTTAACAAATTCTTCACAGTACTGCTTGAATCTTTCTTCTTCCAAAAAAAAGACCTCTTCAGCAGCCATGCTACAGGACATCTGCAGAGCAAACTAAATGTTAGTACTGACAGACAAACACTAAAAATAACACGTACTGATTTATAGCAGCTGAATAGCAAAAGAACAAAGCAGTGGAGAATTCTTTGTTTCTATTAGACAAAGAATTATTCCAAGTGCAACACTTTAGAGAATCACAAAATGGATGAGGTCAGAAGGCATCTTTGGGGATTGTCCAGTCCAAATCTTATGCCCAAAGCTGTATCAGCTACAGAAGGCTGCCCAGGATCGTCTCCAAGGAAGATGTCACAACCTCTGTTCCACTATTCAATTACTACAGAAGTGACTTTTTTTTTTTTAAATTGTTAAATAACAAGAAATGTATATATGTATCAGCATGTTTTTTTCCTGCCTTTCACTGATCAGTACCAGGAATACGCTGGCTCCAACTTATTTATATCTTCCTATCTGGTATTTATATACACACACCGGTAAGATCCTCTCCGTGCTGAAGAGTCCCACCCCTCTCATGTCTGACACCACACCCTTAGCCATCTCGGCAACCTTCTGCTCGAATCAAGGCAGTACGGCCTTCCTCGTACCGGGGAAACCAGGAGTAGAGAGATGCGGTAAGGACAGATGCCTCCTCAGCATTACAGACCAGCGTGTGTCCACAAGCCAGAACTCACTCGTGGGCTTATTTCACCAGGCCTAGCACCTTCTCCACAGGGAGCCAAATGGCAGAAGGTTAACCTGTGTGGTGGCTGCTGCCGCACAGCCCAGCTGGATCACCACAAACTTGACAGCCCAGGCATGGCTTCAGGGTGCTACAGTGTGAGACGGGCACATGCTCTGCATTCACACCCTTACCCCTGGCTCTCGCAGGGAACAGGGGCACTCTGACAAGCCTGCCAGAGTCTCTTTTCTGCTGCCAGAACGGACGAACCACTCACACCCTCTGCAATCCAGCTGCGGGCACCAGGTAGGACCGAGCTGTGCAGACGTACACGCAGGACAGGAACACCTCCACGCACGTTGGAAGTGCAGGCGCCTCGCGCCGCGCCTGCCGCGTTGCAGGTTGCGGTGGCAGCCACACCACCACCCTGCCCGCCTGGGGAACAACATCTGACACTTGAAACTGCCTGATTTCCTGTGGCAGGCCGCCCAAGCCCCCAAGCAGCACAAGTTACCTGGATGCGAAGAGACGGGAAATTTGGAAACGGGCTCCACCTGCGTGCCCACGGTTCCCAAATTTCCCAATCCGGATGAGGCACTGCCCGCCCGCCCCAGCACAGGCAATAAGCAGGGCGCTGCGTTTTAGCGAACGGGCGGGCAGCAGCCACCCCGCGGCCCCACAGCGGCTAACAGAAACGGAAGGGAGGCCTGCACAGCGAAGGCAGGCTCGGGACGGGCCGCCTCCCCTCGGGGACGAGCCGCAGACCGATGGCGGCGGAATGCCGGACGGCCCGGGGGCGGGGGCGGGCGCAGGGTGAGAGGAGACCGCGCCCGAACGCGTCGCGCCGCGCTTCACCGCACCCCCCGCCCGCTTCGGCGCGCTGCTCATGCGCACTCGTGGCGGCAGACACCGCTCCGCCCCAGGGAAGCGCGGCGGCTGGGGGATGGAGGATGGCCGACGCGCATGCGCGGTGGGAAGAGACTGTTGTGTTTAGGGAGCGCGGTGGTGGCGGTTGTCAGCGGGGGTTGTGGTGTTTCTCGACGGATTAAATTTGTAACGCAGTACCCCTTGATGTTGTGTAAGGAGTAACAGCTTTAAAGTAAAAGGGGAAACTTCGGTTAGATGTTAGGTGGAAATGCTTGGCTCGAAGGGCGGTGAGGCCGTGGTACAGCTGCCGGCAGAGCTGTGGTGCCTCATCCCTGCTTAGAGCTGGTGGGCTTTAAGCTCCCTCCTAACCCAAGCTATTCTGTGATTTCGTTTTTTTTTCTGAGAAGCAGGGCTGAAACCTGAGTCCATCTTCCGTGCTTCAGACGCTGGCTATAGGGAGGAAGCTTCCCCTCCTCAAGCCCCGATTGCCATAGTTGGCAGGAGACAGAGGTGAAGCATTGTGCCCATGTCATCCTCCAGCCCTTCACACTTTGGTGTTTGTTGTTTGGGTGATGTAAGTGGCATCTGTGTATGCATCACAGACTTAAATACAGTAGGATCATAGAATCATTTGAGTTGGAAGAGATCTTTAAAGGCTATCCAGTCTAACTCCTCTGCAACAAACAGGGGCACTTATAGCTTGACCAGGTGTTCAGCTTCCTGTCCAGCCTGACCCTGAGTGTCTTCCAGAGATGGAGCACCCACCACCTCACTGGGCAACATGTGCCAGTGCTTCTCCGCCCTTACTGTAAAAACTTCTTTCTTATATCCCATCTAAATTTCCCCTCTTTTAGTTTGAAACCATTTCCCTTTGTCCTGTCACCATAGACCTTGCTAAAGACTCCATCTCCTTCTTTCTTACAAACCGCCCTTAAAATACTGAAGCACCACTCTCAGGTCTTACCAGAGCCTCCTCTTCTCCACAAATACGTTGCAAGTCCCTGGAAGGCTTTCCCTTCCTCTGGCTCTTTCTGCCCACTCCTCCCACTGCCCAAACAAGAGGAGTTGTTGGAACTAGATAAATATAGTTCAGTCAGAGCTTCAGCCAGAAGCTCAACAATGCCAGTTTTATTTGAATGTTTCTAATTAATTTTCAAGATTTGGGATCTGTCTCTGCAATATAAATATATAACAATATGTTATGACTTTCATCTAGTAAAAACAAGTAGGAGAGGAACGTGAAATTAAAGTAGCCAGGTCACCTGAGCATCATCTTATAAGCAATGTTTAAGAGAAAAGTCATGCAAAAATTATATAGCTTTCTGGAGTGGAACAGAACAGTTGGAAGTGACCTGCAGTGACCATCGAGTTCAACTGCCTGGCCACATGAGGGCTAAAAGAAAGCTAAAGCATGTTGCTGAGGGGATTATCCCAGTGCCTCTTAAACACAGACAACGCCTTTTAGGAACCTTGTGCCAGTGTTTGAGCACCCTCACAATACAGAAACCTGTAGCTCTTAAATTGCTTTTGGTTATGAGTATTTGCTAGGTGCACAAAGCAATTAGCATTTGTCTAGCATTTGCTAGACAGATAGTGTGTATGTAATGTGCTAAATATGTATCTATCTTGCTAGATAAATGCTACAAGGATTATTTTTAAGCTCATGAGTCTATTAGACCAAACATTTTTTGGAAGTAAGGTCTTATCCAGTGTGACTAGACTACCCAAACAGTACTAATTACAGAATTTACAATATTTTGATACACTTAAGTAGAACATGATGTTGACTTTGCCAGCGTATATGTAAACTACTGTTTTAACGAGTTCTGTGACTGCTGTAGCAGTAAGCAAGCTGAGCCATCATGTTTGAAGTCCATGCTATTCAGTACAGAGTTCCATATCCATAGGATGCTGTGCTATGGCTGACTGTAAGGTGACATTTTTCATCTGCACAGTTCCTAATTTCCCTGTAATCCACAGGGTATGGAAATTTCACAAGGAAGGGCCAAAGCTTTTTGCTGGAATATTCTGAGGTAAACCATTTTTCTTTATTCTTAAAAATTCAGTTTTCTAGTTTTTGGCTGTTAGCAGCCTACTTCTTCAAATATACACCATGATTCATGTTTAAATATAATTTTCACAGCTCTTCCTGAAAAATGTAATGTTCCATGTAAATCCATAATTTTCAACATTAGGTACATAGAAGAAAAGATTTGTTTCACTAAATTATTCTGGAGAATAATTGTGCATATTGTACAGTTGCTTTGAACAGGTTACCGTACCTCCACAGATTATTATTTTGACTGCATATATTAATTGAGAAAGCAGTTGTATGGCATGGGTGATGCCATTAAAACTACAAGATGTGATGTTATAGTCATTACTTAATCATTATATGAATTAATTATTTATGTTGTTATTGACTGTTTCCTTTAAATGTTGGTGTTTGGAAATTTGGTACACAAACACCACATTGTCACCCAGCCTTGATTTCTGAAGAGAGATTTTGTATTGTGGAATATATTCTGTATGCCATTTTTGCTAAAAGAAAATGCCTGTGTTATTGAAAAAATGTCACGTAATATGCATTGCCTTGGAAGCTACAGCTCTTGATTTCTAATTTTAGCTTTGTTACTGTCTCTTTGCATTTTCTCAGGCAAGAATCATAGGTTTAAGACATTGTGCATTTTAAAAGTGGCTTCTGGGACCTCAGATTTTACATTGAATTTAGCAGAGGATCTGCCATGGCTGGCAGATTCCAGAAAACTAAGCTGCAGTTTCTATATATTTGGATCCATTCACTTAAACTAAAATTTTGTAAACTGATTTTCAAATACAGACCCTTCAAAGATCAAGGACAGCCAGTAATTAGATACTCGCTCAGTAGTTATCATTTCTGAAGGCTATAGGCTTCAGCCATGCTTAAGTTCAAGTATCTCAAACAGACTCTTTTATCTATAGGCCTTAAATTGAACATACACAGTGTTAATTAATTATATATTGTTAAAAGTAAGCACAAACAGTGGGCCTGAATGTCCCCTTTCAATGCTTGTCAACTTCCTCATGACAATCATAACTAACTCGTAAGGTTAGAGAAGTTAAAAATTTAAAACACTTAAGTTCAAAAAACTGTTACCATCTGCACACTATTAATAGCAGTATTAGTGAAATAGGATATTATCTCAAAGTACACAGGACACTGCAGGGAGTGGATTCTAATCCTGATTATGGTATAGGTAAATTTAAGGCTAGTAATTTCATTTTCCAATGTCCATTTGTCTTTTTGTCCTTCTTCAAAGTAGATCAGACTCACAGTATATTCTTAGAGTGCCAAGGACCAGTCAGGCAATTTCAGAAAATGGTAGCGAGTGCCTTTCTATCAAAGGATTTGTCATAGTTCTAAAACTACTTGTCAGCAGGCCCCAAATATAACTGTAGAGTCATAGAATGGATTGGGTTGGAAGGGCCTCAAAGATTATGCAGTTCAACACCCTACGCCCCAAAACCACCAGATCGGGTGCTCAGGGCGCCATCCAAAGTGACCTTGAATACCTCCAGGGATGGGGCACCCGCAGCCTCACTGGCAGCCTGTGCCAGTGCCTCACCACCCTCTCAGTGAAAATTTTCCCCAGACATCAAATCTAAATCTCCCCTCCTTTAGTTTAGAACCTTTCTCCTATGTCCTATCACTGCCTACCTATGTAAAAAAATGATTTCCCTCCTATTTATCAACTCCCTTTAATTACTGCCACTACCAGCTTTCCCCTGGTACTTCTCTTTGGGCTGAACAAACCCAGTTCTCTCAGCCTGAACGTGAAGTTTTCTGTCCCTTCCTTTCCTTCTCCTGATTGTATTGTGAATTAAATTCCCCATTTTGCTACCTCATCTCTGCCATACAAAAGCGTTAATAGTATTGTTCCTTGTGTCACTACTTAGATATTGATAAAGAGAGGCACAGGTCATCAGGTGATTTTTTACTCTAAATACACAAATATATATATTTACAAAATCATCAAACACTGATAATTTTTGAGAGCAAAATACAGTAATCCAAACAATTTTGTTGGTTGGGATTTTAGAACTAAACTGAATGAAGATCATGGAGAATAATCTTTCATCACCTAGAAGGTGAACAGAGTGATCTTTGAAAGGTCCTTTTCATCTCTTCTTTCTTTTCTTTGGTTCCAGGGAAGACAACTTTATTCAGAACTCACTGATCAGTCAGGAAACTCAGGTAACACTCTGCTAGTAATGCTCTTCAAAGAACAGAGGCAACATTGCATCTCTAGAATTGATAGAATTAACATGATTTACTTTCAATTTTGTAAATCCTTTTTAGTTTGAGTCAGATCTTGAGCAATTCACAGTAATTCTAATGCTATTTCTTCCACTTTGGTTTTTGATTACTCTTGATTTCCAGCGGTGAGCAATGTACCTGGGTTGCAGAGTGGTGCTACAAAGGAATATTGTTAGCTAAGCCAAATAAGAAAGGATGGATTAGCCAAAGCAAAATGGTTTTGAAAATCTCATGAGGCTATTTGACAGCATGTTCAGAAGCAAAATGTCATTTGTATCATAACACATCCTGTCTTCATTTGCTCTACTGGTATGGTTGCAGGAGCAAATGTACCTCATTTGCAATTAAGAAGGATTGCATATACAGGCAACTTCTGCAAAAGTGAAATGTGGAACTTTCTTCCAGTTGAAACTGGTACTAGCAAACATCAAGCATGTCTGATCACTTAATTTAAATCTCTTAATTGTCTACTAGATTAATTGACCTAATAGAGATTCTGCACAAATAATACATAAGAAGAATTAAAAATATGTTCTTCTGCATTTTTCTGCTTTGTTTGTTTAGGAGACTTCATAGATGAAATTCCCCTGTTAGAGATTGTTAGTTGAAGAGGTACTCTTTCAAAATTGCTAATGGAGATGCAGACCTTTCTTTTCAATAATAACTGCAGTATTCTTATAAAGTAAAAGAGTGGTGTTATTTTCCTTTTG